GTGAACAGTTACCTACTGAGCAATTAAAAGCCTCAGAAAACCCACTGGATGGTCAGCTATGGATTAGTTCTAATGTGATGGTATACAACAACAACATACACAAACTATGTGAGATGAACCTTCCTCATTTTTGCCTCTAAGGAGTACTCTGGTTACGCATTTTCTAAGACATAGCTATTTCTACTTTTGTCAGTCTTTGGAATATTTGGAGCTCTGGTGGCCTAGTGGCATAAAGGAGTGTGATAATCTTGAAGGTATGCAGTTCAAGGCCATCAGTTGCTCTGTGGGAGAAGGATAAGCAATCTCCTCCTATACCTCTGAAAAACCCTCTGGAGGGTCAGTTATGGATAAGTTCTAAATCTACAATACACAATAACAACAACATGGAATATTTAGTGTTCTTCTCCAATATTACAACTCAAAGGCATCAAATCGTCTATCATTCTTTGGTATTTCCCAGCTTTGAAATGTATAGCAGGTGATTAGAAAGAGAATAATCCCAATTGGTGATAATTAGTCTTCAAACTGATGTTATAACTCTTGAAGACTTTGAGGGTTCTTGCAGCAGATTTTGACAAAGCTGTTACACTTCTCCATGATACTGCTGGTATTAAGAGTGATGTTTATAGCTCTAAGTCAGATGAAGTAGTTGACACTTTGAGTCTTTCCTCTCTGTACCATGATGTTGTCCACTAGCCCAGTGGCAAGGATTTTTATTTTCTTGAGGTTGATATGCAATCCATATTGAAGACTGTATTCTTTGATCTTTTGGAGAAAGTGCCTCAAGTTCTCCTTTATTTCAGCCAGCAAGATTGTGACATCTGCATAACACAAGTTGATGATTAGACTTCCTCCAGTTCTGATGCCACATTCTTCCTCTTAAAGTTCAGCTTCTCTGATGATTAGCTCATTATACAGATTGAATGCTGTTTTTGTTAGGTATCATTAAGTCAGAACCAACTCACATCTGACCTTGCAGCAGTTTTGCAGAGGCTGTAAATGGCATTGGAGGAGCTTGCCTGTCTTTCTTCTATGGAGCCACTGATGGATCCAAACCAGTTGCCTTTGGGATGGTAGCACCGCTCCTTACCACTAGACCACAGACAGTGGAGGAAAGATACAACCCTTACACAAACTTTTCTAGACTTTAACCATGCAGTGTTCCCTTGATCTGCTCAGAGAACAGATTTTTTGCTTAGGTATAGATTTCTTATAAGCTTAATTAAGTGCCCTGGAATTCCCATTCTCCTCAGTGTTAGCCATAGTGTATTAAATGCATTTGTATAGTCAATAAAACTCACAGAGAAAGTCTCTCCTTTTCCTTTTTATTTCTCCTTTCCTTTTTAAAAATGCCCTTCTTTCCAATATGCATCTCTTCAATTAAAAGTCCAATGTGGATCCACAAATCCATTCATATGGAAACCTCATAATAATACTGTTATTGTTAGTTGCCATTAAGTGGAGTGCAACTCATAGTGACTCTGTGAACAAGAGATATGAACCTTGTCTTATCCTCCCCATCCTCACACTTCCTCACACTTCCTCACACACTAGAGCCCATTGTGGTGGTCACTGTGTAAATCCACCTGGTGAAGTTCTTTCTCTTCTTCACTGACCCTCTGCTTTCTAAGCATCATGTCCCTCACCAAGAAATAGCCACTCCCAGCAACATGCCCAAAGTATACAAGACAAAACTTTATCATCTTTGCCTTCAAGGAGCATTCGGGTTGCATTTTCTCCAAGAAAATGTTAGTGTTTTTGGCAGTCCATGGTATGTTCGGTCCTCTTCCCCAACACCACAGCTCAAAGGCATCAGTTTTTCTTCTGTTATCCTTATTCATTGCCAAGCTCTTTGATGCATAGCCAGTGATTGGAAAGATCATGTCCTAAATCACATGCACCTTAGTCCTTACACTGACATCATTGCTCCTCAATAATTTGGAGAGATCTTTAACTGCAGCTATTCCTAGTAGAATATGTCTCCGTATTTCCTGACAGCCAGTAGCAATGGTATTTATTGTGGATCCAAATAAGAGGAATTTTTTGAAAGTTTCAATCTTTTCTCCATCTATCATGATGGTCTATTAGTCCAGTGGCAAACATTTTTATTTCCTTGACATTGAGATGCAACCCATATTGAAGGCTGTATTTGATCATCTGCAATAAGTGCTTTAAGTCTTCTTCACTGTCAGCAAGCAAGATTGTGTCATCTGCAAAACACAGGTTAGTGTTGAATCTTCCTCTGATCTTAACCTCTAGAAGCCTCCTCTTCATAGAGTTCAGCTTCTCGAATAATTTGCTTTTTATGAATGGCTGTGAATATTGAATAGTCATGAATACATACAATGCTGACTCACTGCCTTCTCCCCCCCTTTTCCACAGTTTTGTATAATGATTTGTGTGATAATTTACACCTATGTATCTTTTTAATCATTCAAGCATATATTGCTTCATGTCTGATTTCCATACATTCCGTGTTGTCCTTCTCTTCACCCATTCCTATAGAATCTTCACTGTCCATTAATTTTCCACTCTCCTCTCTCCATTTAGTAACCATATTATAGTTGTTCTCTCTGAATGTAAACTCTTAAATTTTTTTGTAACCATGGTCATATAAAGTATTTGTCAATCTTTGACTGACTTCTTTCAATTAGGGTAATCCCCATTTTTATTAATTTTAATGAAAGTTTACAGAGACTTTGGATTTCCATTCATTCATTGTTGTACACTTTCCTCCCTACCCACACCTCCCCCTCAGTTCGCTTTTCTCTTTGAAAAAGAATTAAAAATAAATCTTTCATTGTTATACAATATCCCTCTGCAACCCCTCCCCCAACCCTGCAGCTTTCATTCTGGGCTCTTGTCTAATCATATATCCCTTTTAAACAGTTTTTTTTTCCTCATCTGTTTCAATGCAGTATACGTCATTGAAACCCTTTACTCTTAGTTCTTCCCCAACCCTGATGTTAGTTCCGCTTTACAACAGTGGTAAGTAATGCCCCTTTAAAAAGTTATTATTATACTGGTTTATATACAAAGTTCAAATAAATTGTTTTTCTCACCGGATTGTCCCCATTTTCTTCACCTCTCCACCCCACCCATCAAATTGTATGGCCCTATGATTAACACCCTTTCCCGCTCATATCCTCACCCCTCTGCTTCCACCCTACCCTAACTCTTGGATTTTCATGCTTGTCCTACAGTAATGGTCTTATACAATATTTGTCTTTATAGGACTGAGTTAGTTCACTTAGTATAATGGTCTCCAGTCCCTCTCATGTCTTGGTAGTAATTTACAAAATCATTGCTCCTGCATGCTGTGTAATATTCCATCATGTGATTGGACCATGGTTTCATCTTAATTTTTTCTTTTTTATTAAGATTGTATTGAATGTTTATAGAGAACATGGATTTCCATTCATTCATTGTTGCACATTTTCCTTCCTGGCCACCCCTCCCTTAACAGTACGGGTTTTTCTTTGAAACAGACATATCCCTGGTGTCATGATCTTTTCAAAATCTTGCTTGAACTTCTGACAAATCCCTATATTTGTACTGTTCCACTCATTTTTAAATTACCTTCAGCAGTATTTTGCTTGCATGTGATATCACTTTCTTAGGAATGAGAACAAACATGGTCATTTTCTAATTCATTGGCCAGATAGATGTCCTCCAAATTTCCTGGCACAGACTAATGCGCACATCCAGGACAGCATCTGTGAATTGAAATTGTCAAATGGTATCCCATAAGTTCCTGGGCATTATGTTTTGCTAGTGATTTCAGTGCAGCTTCTACTTCCTCTTTTATTACTATCGGCTCCAGCTTATATGGTACTTTCCGAAATGTATCAGTGTCAGCCAGTTCTTTTTGGTATCGTGACTCTGTGTATTCTATTCATCTTCTTTTGATGTCGTCAATTCCATAATATCTAAGTATCATTCTTTCTACTTTGTTTCCAACATTTGCATTCCAGTCACCAATTATTATTAATGTATCTTGACTTTTGTACCACCAAGTCTGAACTGACCAATATCCGACCCTTTTGTGGGTTTTCAGAAGAAATTGTCCTTCAAGTACTAACAAAAATTATTCCTACATTTAAATAAACAAGGTCACATTCATAGATACAAATAATAATTGCAATGTATTTTTTGAGACCCAATTCTGTTTGTTAAAATATCATTTGAATATCATTATCCTGCCAAATACATTTTAATTGTTAAAGGTATGTTATTATTGACCTGGAGAAATTATCATGAGTATAAGCTTCAGTACTTTGATCCTCATCTTCCAATGCAATAGTGTTATAATAGTTTCTTCCAAGTAAAAACTTGTTACATTTTTTTTAACTTCTGTTAACAATTTTTTTTCTTATTTTCAGAGTACCACCAAATAAAATCAACACCATAAACTATGTCTACATAGAATAAAACACAAAATATTTAGGTAATTGGACTGGAAAGTGGAATAGTGGACTTGGTAAAAGAGAAAATGAATAAAATTAGTGAAAAATTATTAAAGAAACATTAGTGTATGATTTGGCAATAGGTTCTTATGATTATAGCCCAAAACATCTTATAGTACAGTTCTGTCATATAGAACTCTGTTGTATGATGTCGCTAAGAATTGGAAACTACCAAATGTCAATGAAGCATTTATGAAGTATATGCAATTCTTCTCATAAAATGCTAATATCACTATTACTGAGAATTTTTTGTGAAACTGGCCAAAGGTGTTGACCTGTGTGATTTAAACTGATTAAGCTATGGTTTGGAAAAGTACTTCTATCACCTGACTCTTTGAATAAGAATATTCCTACTTTTAGAAAATAGTTAATTTTATACATTGAAAATTAGCAAATAAATATATATATAACAAGAAGATTTATTTATACTTTGTCAGTTTATTTCACAGAAATATAATGATCTAAAAACTTCATTGATTATTTCTTTCCAATTTGATTTTTTTTTCAGCTTTAATGTGAATTTCTCTTTTTCAGCAGACTCTGCCCACTTCAGGAGTTTCAGTTCCTGAGGTGCGTAAGCAAAAATGGTTTTCATGCTTGCAATTATATACAGGTCATTATACATCTAAAATACAGTCACTGCAAGAACATTTTGGTTTGGCTCAGTGACCTATTCATGTTAACTTGTATGTTCTGATTTTCCCCAATGTTCTGAATATTCAGATGTGGGGCTTTTGGTTTATAAATGTGCAATATTTCCAATCAACAATTTTGACAAACACTTGGAAAACAAAAAAGTTTGTAAAGTGAATACGAAATAATTTCCATAGAGTCTTGACTAGTGTCTTCCTAAATATTTTTAAAAACTTCAAATCAGAAATTGCTATTCCTATATTGAATGTAAAAGTATTCAATATAAGAATATGTGTATGTTTTTTAAAATCCAAGATTATTCAGCGTTTGAGCCATCAAAATGGTGCTTTCAATGATAGTATGTTGAGAAATCTGCTCCCTTTAAAGTGCCCATCATTTCAAAAAGAGTACATTTATCACTCATTTAGCACCAGACACTGTATATACAGACCATCGTTGGAATAAAATTCAGTCACAAGGATAACTACTTTTCTTTTGAAAATAAATGTGAACATAATCACAACATTTATTTTCAGTAAAGTTACAGCTTTACCTTTTCATTAATGAAAGAAAATTTTACATTGTTTTGTGACAATATCCTATTAAATTATTATTATCCCTAAAGAAAATATCTGAATAGTACTGTTTCCTTTAAGGATATGAGGATATGAATGTGTTTAGAGGATATTATAATTAGAGAAACGTGTGAATCTCTCGCAAAAAAATATAATCAGTGGAGCTGGCCTTATTTAATAAAAAATATTTTTAATAACAAATGATAATGAGAGATTTACTTAAAAATAGTGGAAATGTCCTTAAACAGTTTTTTAGACTAAAGGAAATAGTAATATGATTTAATATGCCTTATACTAATTATTATAACTATGATACTTATTATAAAAGAGGTATTAAATTTCATTCTCAAGATCCAGAACTATTGATTGTACATCTTTTAACCCAATTATTTAAGTCAAAGATAATAGATTTTCTTCTTCATATTTATGTTTTCCTTATCATAGTCCAACAAGTAACTATGAGCAATGCTTTTATAATTTTAAGCTCTCTCTTTAGAACTGTTACCCTCTGGAAATTTCCTACATTTAACTAGTCAATTTGTGTCACTTAATTTGAATAAACACAAGAAAATTGCTGTTTTTATACCTTGTGCTTTTATTTAAAAAAAGGTTCTTTATTTTTTCTGGGAGCAATCTCAGAAAAAAATGCATATCTATATATAGATACATGGTTTTTCTACATTGTGCTTCTGGCAAGATATCACATTAGACTGCTTTAAAACAATTTAAAGTATTCACAATTCCTAAAAAGCATCTCATACTAGTTTAGCTATGTTTTATACATATACACACACATAGAGCAGAAAGCTATATTTTTTTTAAATTTTGGCTTTTTGCCTTCAGGTCATTGTTGCATCATTAATTAAAAAATATAGCTAAAGTGAGTGGATGAGAAATGTACAGGAAAATAAATATTATGTTAATATTCATTTGTTGGCTGTACTTGTTTTGAAGGAGATTCTTCTTTTGAAGAGATTCAGTAGTATATATATATATATTCTTACATTATATCTGAACTATGTTGCTGTTGTTATATACTATCAACTTGGCATTAACTAATAGCTTGCCCTCCAGTGGGTTTTCAGAGGCTGAATCATATGTAAGAGAATACATCTTTCTTCCATGGAGCAGCTGGTGGATTCAAACTTTGTATCTTTGGGCTGGGAAGGTAACTTCTTACCACTAAGCCACCATCATTCCCTTTCTAAAATGTACAAAAAAATATATTTCACGGAAACACATATTTTTATTTTCTATGCTAATAATTGATGTTTCTGTAAAAAGCAAATTACACCTCTACAATAATAATTGCAAGTGGCTTAAAAGCTTCAACACTACACTGTAGTAAATCATGTGTAGTTAGTTCAACTGGTAGGAACATTAATGTGAATAAACAAGAGAATTCTCATGACTTTTAGATTTCATTTTACTATAACATATTCCAGTATGGTATACAAAGATAATTGAATGGAAATTTAGTTGAAATGGGTTGTGTTGTTATGTGTCATCGAGTTACTTGGGACTCACAGCAACCTTATATACGGTAGCTCTGAACCCTGTTCTATCCTGAGCTAGTCTCACTGTCTCCAACACACCTTCCCCCTCTTACCCCAGAAACTGAGTTAAACCATCTCATCTGGGGCCTTCCCCTCTTGCACTGTCCCTCCACCCTTCCAAGCATGATGTCCTTCTCCAAGGATTGGTCCCTCCTGGCCATGTGCCTAAAGTACATGAGATGGAGCTTCAAAATACAAGGAACAGCTTGCTTTCATCCTCACAAAGACAGCCCTGTTTGTTCTGTTGGAAGTCCACGGTAAGTTAATATTCATCTCGAGCACCACAACTCAAAACCATCATTTTTTATCTGTCATCTTTCTTCATTGTCCAGCTTTCTAATGCATAGCAAGTGACTGTGAAGGCCATGACCTGAATCAAGTGCACCTTAGTCTCTAGACTGACATCATTGCTCTTTAGAATTTTGGAGCAATCTCTGACAACGGATATCACTAATGCAATTTCTCTTTTGATTTCTTTACTGCTGGTGCCAAGAGGGTTAATTGTGGAATTAAGCAAATGAAACTGTTAATAACCTCAATCTCTTCTCCATCTATCATGGTGCTGCCATTCAACACAGTGGTGAGAAAATGTTTTCTTGACATTGAGTTTCAATCCATAGTAAAGACTACAGTCAATGACCTTTTGCAGCAAATGCTTCAGGTCCTCCTTAGTTTCAGCAAGCAAGGTTTTGTCATCTGCATAACACAGGTTGTTGATGGGTTTTCCTCAAATCCTGATGCCACATTCCTCCTTTTAAAGTCTAGCCTTCCAAATTATCTGGTCTGCATACAGATTAAAAAGGTATAGCAACAGGCCATATCCCTGACATGCTCCCTTTCTAATCTTGAACCATACAATATTTTCTTGCTCTGTTCCAAGAACTGCTTCTTAGTCCAAGTATAGGTTCGCATGAGCACAATCAGTGTTCTGGTATTCCCATTCTTCTCAAGGCTAGCCACAGTTAGTTGTGATCCACATAGTCAAGTGCCTTCACATAGTCAATGAAACACAAATGGACACTCCTCTTTGCTTTCAGCCAAGATTCATCTGACATTGACAATATGTCTCTATTGCCACCACCTCATATGTTTTATAAATAATTGTTCTAAAAAACATTTAAAATTGTATTTACTTTGCAGTAAAATGCATTTTACAATGGTAACCACCATAAGTGAATGTGTAGCCAAAATGCAACTGTTCAATCAGGATTTCTTGAGCCTAAACCTTATAATTAGCTTATACCAGTGTAAATTTACTGGTGTACAGATATCCATGCTGTTGTTGTTATTGTGTGCTAATGAGTCACCTGTGACTCATAGTGATTGTAGGTACAACATCACTGAAGCTTGCCATATCCTAAGCCAGCGTCACTCACCCTGACATACCTACTCCCATTACCCATTCACTGTGTCAATCCATCTCATTTAGTGTCTTCCTCTCCTATGCTGTCCCCCTACCCTTCTGAGTATGATGTCCTTTTCCAAGGACCAAACCCTGCTAGCCACATGCCCAAAATATGTGAGAAAGACTTTAAAAATCCTAGCCTCCAAGAAGAAACTTAGTTTCACTCTCTCCAAGACAGACCTGTTTGTTCTCTTGGTGGTCTGTGATATGTTCAGTATTCTTCTCCAGCACCACAACTCAAAGTTGTTGATTCTTCTTTTGTTACCCTTAGTCATTATACAGTTCTCTGATACATAGCAAGTAATTGTGATGACCATGGCCTGGATTGGGTGCACTTTAGTCTCTGGATTGACATCCTTGCTACTCAGTACTCTGTTGAGGTCCCTGAGTGCATTTTTTCTCAGTACAATTCGTCTTTTGATTTCCTGATTGCTGGTGCCAAGTCTTGATTGTGGAGCTGAGCAAGCTAAAATTGTTAATAGCCTCAATCTCTTCTCTATCCATCACGGTGCTGCCAATTGTCCCAAGGTGAGAATCCTTGTATTCTTCACGTTGAGCTTCAATTCATATTTAAGACTACAGTTCTTGACTTTCTGCAGCAAGTGTTTCAGGTCCTCCTCAGTTTCAATAAGCAAGGTTGTGTCACCTGCATATCACAGTATCACAGGATGTTGATAAATTTTCCTCTAATTCTGATGCCACATTCCTCCTCATAATGTCCAGTCTCTTGAATGATCATGTTCTTCATATAGATTGAAAAGGGATGGAGATAAGACATATCCCTGACACATTCCTTTCCTGATTTTGAACCATACAGTGTTTCCCTGCTCTGTTCTGAGGACTACTTCCTGGTCCAAATCGTAAGTTTCACATTAGCACAATCAAGTGTTAGCCACAATTATTTGTGACCCACATGTTCAAATGCCTTTGCAAAGCCTATGAAACACAGAAATTCTTCTGGCACTTTTCACTCTCAGCCAATATCCATAATTTGTGAACACTGAATTTATGGATTAAATGTAAACTATGTCTTCAACTTTCCATAGTCCAAAATATATAAAAATATTCCTCCGAGTCCTTTAAGATTGGGGATTCATTTTGTCTACTCACCACTTCCCCTTCATTTCCTATCAAAACACCCCACCTAAACCATCACAGTGATTTACCCCCAAGTTTGCTGACCTTGTTGCTATAACCAAATAAGGTAATTTTTTACTGTGCTCACTATTTACCAGAGCTCTGGTGGCCTAGTGGCTGAAACTGTGCTGTAAACCAGTACCTTTACAATGTACTTATAAAAAAGCAATTGTATTCATTTACTTTCTGCCAGAACATTTTGTACATTTTTTTAACTAACCATCACATGTTGCTGTTGTTGTTGTTGTTGTTGTTGTTGTTGTT